TATACTCTACTTGCATTCTGTTGATGAGATAAACTGTGTTTTATTATTCATAGATGAATTACTGTATCTTTTGATGGCTTACAGCTCACAATCTGGCAGTGCAGTGATAGCAGGTTGTTCTACCTGTATCCTGGCTATTCAACCAATCAAAATATGTCAAAGCTTCTTAAAGCTTAAAGTGAACTGTGCCAGTGCTTAAGACATCTAATTTCTGATGCAAGTGACCTACATGCATGTCTTCAACTATAACAGCATTACCACCTTGTACCCCAATCTTGTCAGAATTCAGAAACCTTGGCTTGGCAGTAGTGAGATTGGAGAATGCCAAGGAAAACCAGTTTTCTGCTGTAAGCGGGTTTAGTAGATCAGTAGGTGGCACTCTTCCTGTTAAAAAGAGTAGAATTGTTCAATCCTGTGTCCAGGCTACAATCCAGTCTTGGCCTGAACAATTTTACTTATCTAAAGATTCCCCTTAATTCAACTTAATAAAGAAATTCAAGTAGGTAGTTGTGTCAGCAATGCGTAGGCTGCAAAGGAACAAGTTAAGGTTAATTCCATGCCGAAAAAAAAAAGAGACAACTTTTTGGTTGTGGAGCCTTCTTAAGGTTTGTCCAGTCTTCAGCCTTCCTCACACCACTGAAGAAGGCTCCACAGCCAAAATGTTGGTTCTCTTTTCTTTTAGGCATGGAATTACCCTTTACTTAACGAAACTATCACACATCTACTCTTGATATTTATGGTGCTGGTGTATAATGTCCAATGCACATCACCCTGCAGTGGAAGACGAAGTGGGTTCCCTTATATACAGTACCATATACTGTATGTACAGCACTTTGGGATCTTTCAGAATGAGGTTATATACTGAACATCATCAACTAAAATGACACTGAATATGTCATCAACCAACACATGTATTGATCCCTTACTAAAATACAACAACAACAAAAACTTTGAAATGGCACATTGACACATTATGTGATTTCAGACTCCCAAATTTAGTTATTATGAATTTCAGCTTAGTTATCTTAGTATAATATTGGTGTTTTCCCTTATTTTTCTAAAAGTAGACCTGGTAGAATCATGTGAAGGTTTTCACAGTCGAAGTGTTGTGCATTTTTTCTACTCTTTTCAGCATGATATAAACCTTTACTTGTTCCCTGGTAGAATCATACTAATTAGAAATATTCTGCTTGCTGCAACAGAAAAACATCACATCACCTCTCTCTTCATACTTTCCTAGAGGATTTCATTATACTTCAAGGAAGTTACTTTTTGACAATCTCATTTACAGAAGGAATTAATATAATCTTATTACCCCCAAAGAAAGCTAACAGAGAATGAAATGACACCTTTTGGAGAAATAAGCACCTACACTGTACTGCTACCTTGAGTACTGGTTGTTTTTTTATTATGTGGGATAACACTAATCTTTACATCATTATATTAACTCAAAAATAGCTAAAACTAATGGACACTTGTTAATATAATGTGCATTAGAATGGCAAAGTTATTCCACAAAACAGTGAAGGGTAATTCATCTCATGTAATAATATAGAGAAACATCTGTGAAGTGCAATTGTGATTGGAGTACAGTAGGTTGTGTATATTTCTGTTAAGACAGGATCTTTTGCAGGCCTTCTGAGAAATGTATATAGGAAACCCAAAACTGCTAGACATTGTTATTTAAATATATGTATGTTAATATTTATTGCTGAGAAGCATCTTTGAGTTTTTAGTTCTAAAACATTGTAAACAGTCATTGAATACATTTATTTTTGCCTGGGACTAAAGTTGTAGACCCAGAGATTTGCAATGGCATTAACCTAAATATTAGAAATGTAAAGTTTAGTTCTCTTTGAAGCAGTCTGACCTTCGACCCCGAGGTAGATGCAGTCGCTGATATAACATCTAGCTCTGACACTTTAAATGTGATGCAATCACACAGCAGGATGGCTAACAATGTGATGAAGGAATCAAATATGGCTTTTAAGCCATTTTCAGATCCCATGGTCTCTCTGGTGTGGTGTTGTCTCTTCTATAGTTTAGTAGGATGGTGTTCTCTAGCCTTGGATTAGAACAGTTGCACTACTGGATAGGCTTTGGAAAGACAATTGATTCTCATCCAAAGGCCTCTCTACTGCTGCTTTGGATAGATGTCTTTGTACACATGCCAGTACATTACGTACAGTATAGATACAGTGTACCTTAACATTTCATCCAGACTACAGCTAGCTCTAAAGGTCTTTGTCAAACTCACCAAACATTGTTTCCCCGTAATAGTGCAGCAGAATAGGTGTACTGTAAGTTTATATTTATAACAATGCTTTTAAGAAGCAGAGAAACAGTTTGTAAAACAAGACTCAAATCTCTCATCAATATTTCTTACAAGAAGCATCTTTTGCTGCATAATACATCAGAGCTTTTATTCATCTTGGTGTTTTTGTAACGCAGAAATAGATGATTTGATTACATGCTTTTTTGCCAGTACAATACCTAAAATAAATTTGATTCAAAGCCATTAATCTTCAAAAATGATCAGCCATACACAAACGCCTAGCTTGTGCTTCTTCATTTAAAGATAAAGTTATCCTTCAACATTAAAATGAACAAAATCTAAAAAGTGACATTTGAAGTGGCACTTAAATTTCCCAAATCAGGGCGTATTTATGTATTTATTTGTTTGTTTGTTTTTTTTATTTGGTTTAGAAGAAAATGACTCCTAAATAACTGGTTTGCATTTAGAGCTAGTATTAAAATGATTTTCCCCGTACCCTTTCTGACTGACGTCTATCTAATTTTCTGTTGCTATGAGACTGTTGGTGAGCCGCTGCCAAAGGGAGTATGGATTAGTCTGTGAAATTGGGAAAAGGCCTCCGATACTGAGCTAAAAGAAATGAGATTTTCACTGGGAAATATTGGGATTAACTGAACATTTCTGGTGCTTGTCAACTTGCAGTTTAATCCTCTTAACCCCTTTGATGGTAGGGTAACCATTACAGATTGCATGAAAAGACAGCTTTCTGTGTTTGCCAGCATTCTAATGTGGAATATGTTTGTTGGCACTTGATACTATAATGACCAATGTAACATTCAAGGCAGGTAGATTTATCGACAAATTAAAAGGCATGGAATGAGAGGGTTTTTGACTACTGCTGCATAATGTGTATGTTTTTTTTAACATGGAAACCTAAGTACATATTCCTATCCACAGAAGCAGTGTTACCTTCAATCTTTGATCTTGCTATTCATACCTCCAGTTCTAAGCAGTGTGCATATATAAAGTAATAATTAGTAAGGAGGGGATGCACATAATCTGACACTTATCTTCAGAACCCACATGGGTGATGCATTGGCAGCCATCATATGACAGCAGCCCTACTACACTGCAGGTCAGGAGAAGAAGTAATTACTTTCACAATTGAATTAATAGGGAATCTTAAGGAACCACACTGTACTTTAAATGAACAAAGTGCAATTGGCTAATACAGAGGGGTTAACACCCTGATATTTACGTATTTATCCCGTTTGTCTTTTTTGAGCAGAAAGCTTAAAGAAGAGCTATTTTTGCATGTACAGTATGGCACAGTACTGTTTATTGTATCTAAATATCACTCTGGGTTTCCTTGAATGATCACTCGGTTAAACTGTGCATGTGTGAAATTAGTTAGAATATTTAGATATATGGAGACACTTTATTAGATGTCCACAGATATAACAAATACTTCACTATTATGTAAAAAAAAATGAAATGCCAGGATTCTACATATATTTTACTGATGTTGTCCTTCATTCAAAAGGAGACGTTTACCCCAGTTTCTACATCTCATGCTGAGAATGGAATTCTAGATATATATTACTTCTGTACATATTTCAATTAATTTACCAGAAAAGTCTACTGGACTGCCTGTATCATTTAATCTTTGTGGGGATTGTTCATAAAAGCACATTGCCACACCTAAAAATTCTCCTTATTGGCATAATATGATTCTTAAAAATCTTTGTATCGTTTTCACTTGAAAATTCCCACTTCGTATTTGTTCTGAGCGAATAGACCTACTGTGAAGCGGACTGCTCATTTACCATTATTTGGATCTACCAAAACTTTCCTCGAAATCCATCCAACCAACCCCCCCGCAATCCATACACTCACTTATACCTACAAGACTCTCTAAAACGAGCAAACGAAACCTCGAAAAATGTCGCTATGCTGAAGACTTAAAATCTAGTTCACGCCCGCAGCAACAGTGTAGCGGTGCTGTCCAGCAGGTTGGTGCTGAATACGTTTAGGCTCGTAGAGAGCGCACATTAGAGACGGCTCATGGACAATGTTCATCACAGGCGGAACTTGACATGTATGGAAACGATATGCATAGCATAATGACAGCGAGTGTTGGCTAAATTTACAACCGCAAAGGAAAGACTAAATCGTTGTGCGTCGCGTTTATTTTTAACAAAAAAGCACTGCCTTCTGTAAATATTTGGTTTGACTTTATTATACTGTTCTGATTAACATTCGCATGCCCTGAAAGAAGCCTTTAGCTTCTGTTCCTCCCAGTGCAACAGCATTTAACCATATAACCACCTCATTCAGCGAAAGAGGCTAATTGCACCCCTACTATAAAGCTCTAATATCTTCCTACGTACATACATACTTTCTTGTTGTTTTGAAAACAAAAATGTGGGTCATATGAACCATGTACTGTAAAGGCTTTAAACACCTGCTATTCTGATATCACCAATTACACATCCTCAGAAACGGTAGCAGAAACTGATGAATAGATCTTAGCTGCTGTAACGTCACGATATTTGAAAGATAGTTGATTTACTGTACAACGCGATGACCAGAAAGTCCAGCATACTTAAAAGTGTTGTTAACAGTATATGGACCGAAGTCAGAGAGTTGGCGGAGATTCTATCGGAGACTCGGCAGGAGAGCGAACTATATCAGCTCCCAGGTGATTGGTTGGGACCATATTACATCACTTGCACTTCGCTGCTTCAGTGCCTGTAAGCTGTAAAAAAAAATCAGATCCTCGCAGATGAGAGGCACATCTGGGTAGGATCTAAACCAGCTCTTTTTTTTAAAAAGAAGTTGGCACTTCGCTCCAGGGTTTTCTTTCCCCAGTAAATGCTGGACTGGTCTTGTTTTACAACCAGGAACTGAAGTTAATTTAGAAATATGTAAAGGCGTTGCTTGCAAAAATGACGAGAAAGGGAAAACTGCCCCCACATGAAGACAATCACGACCTTGCATAGTAACTTTTTAGAATAAATTATATAGAAATTTGAAAAGGGATTTTGAACTTGGTTAAGACACTGGAAAACCATGCAACCATGAGCTGCCATAATCTCACCGGAGCAGACAGGTTTGCGCAGTGGAATTTATCAGGTAAGTTATCTATGAGTTTGTTCTTTGCTTTAAATGCGTATGTGAGTGATTTACTTTGCAATTGATTTAAATTTCGCCGATGCAATAGCTTAACATCTTAAAATAAAATATAAAGTGTTGATGGCACGGAACAGACTAGTTTGAAAGAAGAACTCTAAAACAAAACAGACTCGCAACAACTGTTTGCAATAACGCCAGAAACACGTCTCGTTGTTGCTGTATCACTTACAGCTGCTATTCGTTTAAATAAATTGAATACAATCAATCATCGATCAGTCGATGGTTTTGTCATCTCGAACTTGTATATTGTACGTAATATACGTTCTTTGTCCCGAAAATGGATTATGTTACCTGAGTACTAATCAATATACTGAGACTATACAAAATTAACAGTAGGGGCTAATAGGATTTTCATGCTTCAGGGAATTCTTGGGAAACTTCCATGCAGACGCTCCAAATGGGAAGTCATTAAAAAGGCTTCATTGTTAGAAAGATATTGTCTCGGTATAATCGACAAAAATATTAAGAAAGTAAAATCAATAGTCAGCTGTCGTAGTTTCTTTAAAAGTACTGTCAAGGGGCTAGTTGAGTTTATATGAAACACTTTTCTCGGTTAATTACGTTTTCTAGTTGCAAATGAAATACCTGCGCTCCTGATTATCTGCAGCTGTGTTGGCGGATATTGATATAACGAGCTAGGGTATCTTTATCGTTGTTACCACCTTTTCTTTACAGCCAAGAGGAAACTATTGTTCTTTGCACGCAAATGTGACCAGTTTCTGAATTTCTACAACCTCGCAAAGCAAAATTGTGAAGCACAGCACTTCAAATACAATCATGAGAAGAACGACAATAAAGTAGGTCACTAAATACTTCTGAGTCGTAGACCATTATGGGTTGTCATTTGTATTATAGCACCTAAAATGACACTTTTAAACGGTGAATTTTAAAACCATTAACATGATAAAGCACTTCTCCATTGTCCATACCGATAATCTGGTGTTTGCTTATAACACTATTCCTGCCACAACTCAAAAGCTAATATTCAAAACACGTTATTTTATAACTCTTACTTCACATCTATTTCATAAGTAACGGATGTTGTATATAAAACGACTGCATGTATAGACGGACCAATATAAAACTAAGAGTATCAAATACATTTGGCACCATTTTAAACAAGTCGATAACACCCGAAAACACTACTACGTGTCTTCCAAGAGATACATTGTTACTGTGGAACCACAATAAGCTTGGATTAAAGCTTCCGAAAATCTTTTTGCATCAGCCTATGAGTATAATTACTCAGCAGTCTCAAAATTAAACAGCCATATCAAAAACTAAGGACTGCTGTATACAGCGTATAAAAAATAGATCATGGTAAACAAGAGGACTCGAGCATACCTTTTCCTTCCGTTGTTTCCGAAGAGAAATGCCATTAACTAAGTCAATAAGCGTGAGATAAATATGGTTACTGCTGTTCAATTCCATTTGGCCGACCACCATCATAACTGTCTTTGTATTAAATGAAATATGTGCAGTACATGTTATTTCAATGCAGTACTTTTTGTGTTCATCCTATCTATGAGGTAAAGTAAAGTATGGGACAAAGTTCGGGAGGGTTGACAACAACCAAGCTCAATCAGACTCAGCTGTCTGTAATTAGCAATCGCTCCTGACAAACCATTCCTCTCCCAAACGGTAAAAATACCTACAGTACGAGATCCATCTCTCTCTCTCTCTTGCACGACTTTATACCCCACCCAGCCTCCACCTCTGCAGGTGCCCCCTGGTCACCCTGCATGGGGGTCCTGGTCTCCTTGTCCTCTGGCGGGGAGGTCAGCCCTCAGCCAAGCGGGTTAAGCCACAATTTCGCTCCATAAAGCTTTCATCTCTGTCAGGTGTTTGTCATTCCTCGTGAATATTCGTTATCTAACAATGCCCATCCGACTCTCAAATTAGCTTAGCGCCACGCCAAAATTGTGTGTTACATTTCTTCTGCCTTCATCACCACTTTCTCTTCAGCTATGGAAATGTTACTGTATGGCTCAGGTTTTCTGCACCTCCCGTCTCAAGAAACTGCGGAATGTAAAGTCGTAGTGTCTTTCAACGACTAGAAAGGTTACAAACCAGAGAAGATCGTTCGGCCTATTTAAAATAAAGAAAGCAGTAGTAAAAAACCGACAATAACGATATCTCGCGTTACAGTATCTTTCCAAGCAATAAAAAAGTATTATTGTCTGAAAAGCACGACAATTTTTAGACTGCGTTCTTTTTTGGGGTTAAAAGAGTAAGCAAGACTAATCAATGAACACGCACATGGCACGGACAAGTGTAAAGGAGTTTTCTTCTATAGCTGCGCTATTTTATGAAGGGTTTAGCGTAGGGGGGAGGCGGTAGGGTCTGTTTTAACGCTCCTCTTGCATTCTGCCTGTTGAAAGACTAAGACCGTGCTCGGACAGTTCGTAGCAATACTGGGTCGTTGCGGCCCAGCAATCTGAACGACTGATACGACAACGTGGTAAATACTAACAAATCCGAAGTCTGAGGAATGTCTATATCGGTACTGTTGGACAGTTATCAGCTCAGGAGAGTTTCATTCAACGGCTGCGCCACCACAGCTTCAACATCGCAGCTTGCTCTCGATATTTTCCGTACACAGCAGAGTATAACACTGGACTGTACAACTGTACTGTATGTGCTGTAGGCGACGTTCACAGAATTCTGCCTTTGGTCATTAAGTACTACCTTTTTAATCAGGTAAGGCTGAAGGTAGAATATAAAAGCTTGCAGTTTTCTTACTAAATAAATGTACTTTTTGAACCGCAGAACATAACAGGTATATGAAGTAAGACGAAATGGTCTTTCAATCATTTCCCTGGCTCATGCAGTCTGTCATCTTTTCGTTTCCTGCTCGGTGCATAAGTGGGCATCGCTAAGAAGTGTTCTTTACTGTTCTAGAGATATTCTGCTTTTTTATACGTCGTATCTCCAATTGAAATGAATTAATATTTTATTGGCGTTATCTTCAATAACTTAGCAGAACTAACTTCAAACTGCAATGTTTCGCCACTTTAATTTAGTGTTCTGGGACATCACACCGGCTTTTATAAACGCTGCTGGAACAGTCCGATATTAAAACGCATACGGCAGGAACAAAACACCCAAACGCTTCCTTGGCAGAAGGTTGTTTCTTTCGTCTTGTGAGCCAGAGATAGCTCTGTTGCAGCGCACATTCGTCTTCGAATTGACAAGCATCTCTCAGGTTGAGCCTGAAGTTTAGTAGGTCAATGACGTCATTGGGGGGAGTAATTGATGCAATCTGAACACTTGCGTATTCAGTTTTTTGGTAACGTAAACCTATTTTGTGAAGATGAATAGACTCTTTAGCTTTACAGGCGCAAAGGTAGTAACTATTGTATTTTAGCACTTACAGCCCTGGAGTGTTCAAGTGGCCGGACGTGGACAAGGGCTATTTTGTTTTTGCATTAATGGTCACAGGCGACTTTAGCACCAAGTCCATGTTTTGGTTTGTTTTCATGTTTATCACTCTTTTAAAAGCTGCAATCAAGGCGTGTGTAAGGGCGTTAATGCGCGCACAAGACACGAGATATCTCCACGAATATTTGACTTTCCACGTCAAACACGTACCAGACTCCTTGCCTTCTAACCCAATCGAGCTGTGGTAGATGCTGGACTCTCGCACAGACACGAGTTCCTCCCGTGTTTCCAAATTTCTTGCAGCAACACCAGACAAAACTGACATCTTTGTGCATGAAGCAAAATGAATCTGACACGATATTATCTGTTTTACAGAAAAAAATGAATTGAAAATGAAGCCGCATTAGTGATCTTCAGAATATAATTTCTTTTTATTTTTCTACTTCTATGAAACAAGTTTAAAGAGTAAAACGAGGCTACAGAGTCCCATTAAATATATTGTATTTACTCAACATAATGCACAGATCTCATTTATTTTAAGAATACATCTTCTGAATCATAATAAAAAACCCTTATCTACATATTTTCTTCAATGTCAACCATAACATTTAGAGACAGAAATGTGTTTAATGTAACTCTCAAAATCTGAAAAAAATTAATTAAAAATTATGCTACTTATTTACAGAACTTACTGTATTTACAGAAATCTGTGGCCAGCATCATGATATCAGCCAGGACTGGTAAAAATACACCAGAGATCTGAACCAGATATCCACCTGATGCAGGGCTATACCATATGGTCTATACCATATGACGCCCATGACAGATGTGTAAATGAGAAAGAAGATTCTTTTTAAATCTGATATTTAAAATGTCAGTAAAAAATTAAAGAACCTCTATAGCTATCACAAGTAATGAGAGCCATTAATTTAATAGGAAATTAACCTCCAAGATAGTTGGAGGACTCATTTAGACTCATTAAAAATCCTTATTGCTTGAATATCTTCAGGTGACAAAAGCTTTGGTCTCTGGTTCAACTGTTTGCTCAATGGCTAATGCAGTCTCACTTTGTAGCATTAACAATATTAGCATCAGCATAGCCAAACAGAGATAACAACCCCATTTTCCTGAAACTGTGAACTTAATAATAGTTGATTAGAATGAATGAGAAGAAGTATGATCAGGCAAGGTGGTGAGGTTTTCAGACATAAATTGGAGAGACAGCTAACCAATCTCACTGGATACTGGGATCCCTGGACACTGTGGTCATTTGGAGTACTTAGGTTCTCTCTCTGTGAGGAGCTTGATAATTTAATAATTAATAATAATAATTGCTTACACTTATATAGTGCTTTTTTCTGGACACTCCACTCAAAGTGCTCTACAGGTAATGGAGACTCCCCTCCACCACCAACAATGTGCAGCATCCACCTATCAATTGAGCTTTTGTTTAAGTCTCTTACAGTGTCAAAACTAACAAATGAGCTATCTGCCTTTTGAATTGGGAAGAAGACAAAGAAAGGGTTTTCTGAATTGAGAGTTGGACTGAGAGAGGAGTG